TACACGTGTACGACTACGACTACGACTTTTATTACTATTACTACTACGCTTACGACTACCCCTACTACTACTACTACTACTACTACTACTACTACTACTACTACGACTACGACTACGACTCTGGCTGCGACTACGACTACTACTACTACTACTACCACTACTACGGCTACTACTACTACTACTACTACTACTACTACTACTACCATACTACTACCTACGACTACTACTAACTCCTGACAAAACTACTTACTAAAACTACTACGACTACGACTACTACTCCCCTACTACTACTACTACTACTACTACTTGCTACTGCTTAATGTACATGCTACTGGCTACTGCTACTGTACTGCTACTGTTACTACTGTTAATACTTATTACTGTTAATACTATACTACTACTACTACTAATACTATATACTACTCACGACTACTACTACTACTACTACTACTACTACTACTACTACTACTGCTACTGCTAATAATAGAAATACTACTGCTACTACTAATACTAGTACGACTACTACTACTACTACTACTACTACTACTACTACTACTACTACTACTACTACTACTACTACTACTACTACTACTACTACTACTACTACTACCCCCCTCACTCCTCCTCCTCCCTCCTCATTATTTTCTCCTCCCTCTTTCCTCCTTCCTTGTCCCTTCCTCCTCCCTCACTCCTCCCTCCCTCCTTCCTTCCTCCTCCTCCCCCCCTCCTTCTCCCTCCTCCTTTTCCTCCTCCTCGCCGCCTCCTCCTCCTTCCTCAGCCCTCCTCCTCCTCCTCTTCCCTTTTCTCCGTTTCCTCTTCCTCGTCTCCTCAGCCCCTCTCCTCCTCCTCCCTCCTCCGCCTCCTACTCCTCGTCCTCCCTTCCTCCTCTTCCTCCTCCACCTCTCTCCTCCCTCCTCCACTCCTCCCCCTCCTCCTCCTCCTCCTCCTCCTCCTCCTCCTCCTTTTCCCTCTTTTCCTTTCCTCCCTTCCTCCTCCACCTCCTCTTTCCTCCTCCTCACCCTCCACCTCCTCCCCCTCCTCCTTCCTCCTCCCTCCTTCCTCCTTCCTCCTCCCTCCCTCCTCCCTTCTCCCTCCTCCCTCCACAGTTGCACAAAATGAATACTATTCTCCTCCATCCCCTGATGACGTCCGGAAGGTATCCAGCCCCCCGCCGCGTACTGCTGTTTACACGCAGGATTTCTGGGACACGGGCTTTCGCTTTGTTTTTGTCCAGTATGTAGCTCCCGCTAAAGCGCTGGCCTCATTTTCGGGCTTCCGCTCATTTCCCGCTGCAGCGCTGGCCTCTGTTCCGCGTTTCAGCTCGTTCCGAATCGTGCCCCCGCTGCAGCGCTGGCCTTCCTTCCAAATAGGCCCCACAATCTGGAAAATGGCCCCCCCGAAAAAACAACATCGGACGTGATGGCACATTCGGTGTCGATTCTTGGATATTTTGGGCCGCTGAAGCCCTCCCCCACTTTGGGGCGTCGTCGTTTTCTGGAGGTATCAAGCGGGAGCCCCGTTTCTGCTTTGAGAAGGCGATGCTGGAAGCAGAGCAAGCGGGTACTATCCATCAGCCCCAGCTTGTGTGAAACTGTTCGGGGAGCCCAAGGAGCTAGGCATGGAGCCACGACTCCAGACTGGCCCAGACCCCTCGAAGACGATCCGCTTAACTTCCAAGGAACCCAGCTCCATGCCATGACATGGTGTGCGGTGTCCTGGGCAGCTGTGCGATGCCATGCTTTGCGTTGCAATCTTCTATGGTGCAATGTTTCACTGCGCAATGCCACGCCATGCTATGGCATGCTACGCTATGTCGTGCTTCCTACGTCATTCCATGCCGTGCTCTACCATGTATCGCGTACCCTCTCGCGATCTTGTTTTGCTCGACATCCGATTGTGCGAATAGAGAGGGCATCTACGCCATAGTGAGGGATGGGGGAGGGGAATGACATCATATATGACGCGAGCGCACCTAGTTTGTCCCTCCTCCCTCCTCCCCATTCCCTCCTCCTCCTTCATTCCTTCTCTCTTCTCCTTCCTCCTCCTCCCTCCTCCCTCCCTCCTACTCCCTCCTCTTTCCTCCCTTCTCCCTCCCTCCTCCTCCCTCCTCCTCCGCCTCCTCCTCGTCCTCCTCCTCGTCCTCCTTCTCGTCCTCCTTCTCCTTCTCCTCCTCCTTTCTCCTCCTCCTTCTTTTCCTCTTCCTCCTCTCCTCCTCCTCGTCCTCCTTCCTCCCTCTCCTCCTCTCCTCCTCCTCCTCCCCTCCTCCTCCTTCTCCTCCTCCTCGTCCTCCTCCTCCTCCTTCCTCCTCCCTCCCTCCTCCCTTCTCCCTCCTCCATCCCTCCCTCCCTCCCTCCCTCCCTCCTGCCCTCCTCCCTCCTCCCTCCTCCACCTTTGTTCCGTTGCTCTGTTGGTGCCTGGATCTCCTGCAGTGATTGCGCAAACATCCAGAAACACGAAGGGTGAGTCGGGGCCGGCTGCCCAAACACACCACGGATCGCTGCGCGACCCACTAGCTCCTGCGGTGAAGAGCCTGAGGGAAAAAACGCAAACGAGTTGGCAGGCAGCAGAGAGCAAGACAGCTGGGGGGAACAAGCCTCACTGCCTAAACGGTTTTCGAGCTGCGTCCGCCCCGCAGGGCTCAGATTACGACACCCCCAGTGCCGCCCCGATAAGCCACCCGAGGGGCGCCACTCCCTCGGGCGACCGCACACCGCCACGCACGCCAGGGCGGGGGCCCCTGGCCGTGGGAAGGATGGGTGTGGTTCCGCCATGAGCCCCCCCGAAGGGGACCCCCCACCCGCCCAGACACCCGCGGCGTACGGGCCGGGCCACCGCAAGGGCTGGGAAACGTGGCGACGAGGGTGCAATTTTCTCTCCCCCTGGCCCCCTACGGGCAAACAGGGGTGACGAGCGGGTTCATACCCGCTTGTTTTCCTGGGACGCCCGAGGGCACCCAGTGGCACAGGTGCCCTCCTCCTTCTCCTCCTCCTCCTCCTCCTCCTTCTCCTCCTCCTTCTCCTCCTCCTCCCCCTCCTCTTCCCTCCTCCCTCCTCCCTCCTCCTTCCTCCCTCCTCCCTCCTCCCTTCCCGCCCCCCTCCTGCCTCCTCCCTCCCCCCTCCCTCGTCCCCCTCCTCCTCTCCTTCCTATCCCTCTTCCCTGCTCCCCCTCCTCCTCCTCCTCCCCTCCTCCACCTCCTCCTCCTCTTCCCTCCTCCCCCTCCTCCTCCTCTTCTCCTCCTCTTCCTCCTGCTCCTCCTCCTCTTCCTCCTCTTCCTCCTCTTCCTCCTGGGGTCGATAATCGGGGGCGTTCCAGAAAAGGGCCTCACCTTCGAGGGTAGACTTAAGTCGTGCATGACTCTCTCACAGGAGGAGAGTTCAATCATGTTTAACAATACTTTGGTGACAATGTGCTGTGCTTTGTTGGACTATGTTTGATGGTTTTGGGCCATATGTTTTTCTTTCAGAATCCGCTTGCAGGAGGACGCATGCCCGACCTAAGGGTAGAAGGAGTTGCCATCTCTTCTTCGGAGGAAGGTCGGCAGAAGTAGAACCAGGCCGCCTCCGCCAGCTGAAGCCAGCGGAAGGGCGGCGGAAGGCGGCGGAAGTAAAATATATGCCCCCAAGAGATGAACACGTGTTTGGGTTCAGGGTTCCCAGAATCCGCCAAAGTGGGGGGCAGCGGGGGCTGCAGACAAGAGCCCTTCAGGGCCCCTAAAGGGGGCCTTCTGGACCCGAAAAGATCACCTTGTTTCTCCCCCCTCCCCTATGCATCGCCCCCCTCAATTCGCGCCCACTCTTCTGAGCTGCCCGCCGCCGGCTCCTCTCAGGACGGAGAAGACACGGGCACAAAGAATCGTCGATCTCCAGAATGATGGAAGGGAAGCTACGGGGAGGGGGGGAAGACGAGCATCCAGAAGACATCGACCACTGCAGAAAATCCTAGGATCTGTGCCTATTTGCTTATGTCTCCCTGGCCCGTGGACTCTCCTCTGCCGTTTCTGTCTTGTTCCTGCCCCGCCGGTGTTGCTCACGGCCTCGCCCCTCATCCTCCCTCGTAGCTTCCTGCTGCTGCTGTTGCTGCTGCTGTTGCTGCCTCTCTTCCCTCCCCCGTCGTCCTCCTCCGCTGGCCTGCGGAGCTCTCGACCCCATCTCTTGGCATCGCTCGGACGTGTGCATCTGTTCCCGGCGAGGACCACGGAGGAGCATCCCAGACCACCGAGAGGGAAAGACACGCACGACAGCGAAGCATGCGCGGGGAAGAGACGCCGGAGCGATGGCGAGATCTCGCCCTGTGGTTCTGCCGCACCGTGGCTCTCGGGGCGGTCGGCCCTGGGGCCCGAGGTGCCCTCCCGTAGGCCGCGGCTCGGAAGGGGAGGCCGAGAGGATGGGGAGGAGGAGGAGGAGGAGGAGGGAGAGGAGAGGAGGAGCACGTGGGAGGAAGAGTGATGAACTAGGAGGAGGAGGAGGAGGAGGAGGAGGAGGAGGAGGAGGAGGAGGAGGAGGAGGAGGAGGAGGAGGAGGAGGAGGGGGGGGCAAGGCCTCGATCGACAGACGACCGACGCCACCCCACACGCGGCCCTCCATGCCGCGCTGCGGCCCATCGGGCGCCGCAGCGTGTGTCTCGCGAGAGCCCAAGCCAGAATCCATGGTATGTGCTAAGGCCCGTGGGGCTCGGGCGGGTGGTGATGGGGATGTGGCCCAACTGGGGGGTGAAGAAGAGGATCCCACGAGGGCCCTGTCGGGCCCCTTTTTGGGCCCCCGCTTGCCCCAAGAGGGGCCTTACAAGGCCCCTTTGGGACTCCTTTCTTCACCCCCCGTGTGGGCCACCCCGCATTACCACCTGCCCAGGGGCGGCCCGTAGGTGGGATGGCGTCGTTTGTTTTCTGGTCCAAGGGACGACGACGACGCGGGCGAGGCGGAGGCGGGCGGGAGGCGGCAGTCTCGGTTCCCCGCCACAGCTTCTCCTCGTGCTGCGAGCACACATCTTCTCCGCGCCCGGAGGTGCCGCTGCACGCGCCGTCGGACGACGGGAAGCAGCGCAGGCGGGACGCCGCCTGGGCCTCCTTGGCACTCTGCCGCGAGTCGCTGCCGTGGTCGTCCCTCTTTGCTTCTCCTCCGCATCTTCTTCCTCTTAGGCTCCGCGCCGCCTGGTGCCGGACAGGGAACGCCCCTGCCAGTGGAACCCTAGATCGCCTGGGTCCTTGAAGCCAGCGGGGTCCTCCTGAGCAGGTCCTCGAACGAGGCCTGCGAACACAATACCACGGAGGAGCCTAGATGCTCTACGGGCCAGTTGTCTTGCTTGCCCAGAGTCGTTCCCAACCGTCTTTGTCCTTTGTCCTTTGGAGTCCATTGTCCTAGCCTACAGCGGCGCCGAGAGGCAGGTCTTGGGCAACCAGCATGCTGCTCAATGCTATGTCGCTCTTGCCGCATCTTTCCTGTTACGTTCCCCAGTGCCGACGCCCACCCTGAAGCGGAAAACTCGCTTTGGCACCCCAGCATCCTCTCCCGCCAGAGTCCCGGAATCACCGTGACGCAGCATGCGTTGCATTTTGGGCACCACGCGGGGCAGCGATAGGGGGTACATCACAGGCCCGTTCGCGTCTAGAGGCGTGTTTCTTTGTGGGTTAATGTTTGCATCCCAACATCTGTAACTCCATGATCATCGCGATGTGGCAGACGTTATCATTTGGGGATTCCACAGGGGAGTCGGCCAGGGGTGTATCAGGGCCTCGTTCGCGTCCAGGTGTGTGTGTGTGTGTTTGTGCGTATGCGTTTGCGTATGGTGTGTGTGTGTGTGTGTGTCCGTGTGCGCTCATTTTCAGAGAGCGCCCACTTTGCAGCCCAACATCCTCGCTTTTCAGAGCCCCGTGGTCATCGCAATGTAGCAGGCGTAGCACTTGGGCAGCCCAAGATACTCCAAGGGGAGTCGACCATGGGTGTATCATTGGCCCGTTCACGTCCACATCTCTGTCACTTTCAAAGAGAACGCCTGTTTTAGAACCCCTACGTCCTCTCTCTTCAGGGCCGCATGATCATCGCGATGTAGGAGGCGTAGCATTTGGGCATCCCCAGGGGGAGTCGACCAGGCCGTCTTGGGTCGTTTGGGGGCCTCTTGGGCAGTCTTGGGGCCCTCTTGGGCCGTCTGGGGGCCCTCTTGGGGGCCTATTGGGGGCGTTCTTGGAGGCCTCTTGTGCTGTCTTGGAGTTTCGGGAGCCCGACAAGTCGAGAACCCTGGAATCCTTGAATTGTGTTTCAGTCTGCGGCGCTGGCCGTCGCAAGCGCGTCTGCAGAACCGGCGGATCGCGCCGGGCACGAGGCACACGAAGGCAGGCAGCGTCCGCGGAGAGCGGCCGCGGAAGCGGAAGGAGGAAGGAGGCACGATCCTCCGAGGGCCAGCGTTGCGGGAGCGCGCAGACAGCTTCCGGCATTCGGAGCCATTGCATTCTGGGAGGCGCGGCTCAGTGCGAGCTGTCGAAGGTGGGGCAGCGAGAAAACCCATCGTGAGGCATGCCATCAGCGAGAGGGCCGAGGGCCAAAAGCCGGAGTGGGGTGCTGGGACCTCGTAAGGACGTCTTGAACTGAATTGGCGATCCAGAAAAGGCCGAGCTCAGGGCCTGCCTCTTGCGCACTTGTTAGTTGTCGGCCGCGTGTCTCTCCAAGCCGCGCATCACCGCCTGCCTCAACAAAATCTGAAGCAGTCCAGGGCCGACCTCGGCGAGTATGAGCTTTTCCCCGGAATCGATTTCGAGCGTGACCCAGCCGATTAGCTTCCACCGAATCTTTGATAGACCGCGCTCGTGGGGCCCGACAGACTAGAAGGGGGGCCCCAGCTTGAAGCTACCCCCCTCCCCCCTTCCTTGCTAAAGGGGGGGGGGGCTTCGGAAGCCCCCCCTCCCTTCCCTTCTTTTCGTGGCCGGAAAGGGGGGGGGGTAGCTTCCAAGCTACCCCCCTCCCTCCCTCACTTTCATTGAGCTGGGGTAAGCCCCCCCCCCCTTTGAAAGGGGGGGGGGTTCGGAAGCTACCCCCCCCCCCTCCCCCTCTTTTCGTGGCCGGAAAAAGGGGGGGGCTTCCAAGCTCCCTCCCCCCTCCCTCCTTTGAATGGAGCTGGGATGAGCCCCCCCCCCCCCACATTGAAAAGGGGGGGGGCTTTGGAAGCTCCCCCCCCTCCCTCCCTTGGTGCAAGGGGGGGCTTGAGCCCCCCCCCCCCTCTCCTCTTTGGCTCGTGTGGGGGGGGGGGAGAGGAGGGAGGGAGGAGGACTGTATGGCAATGGCGTCGGACTTGCGTTTCGCCGGCGGGGAGGGGGGGGCGAAAGGGGGGGGCAGCGCGCTGGCGATCGCCGTGCTACTGTCGTGCTACAGTGGGCGCGTGGAGCTGAACGGAGAGATTGCGGCGCCAACTGCAATTGCTGACGGCGGTTTTGCTCGCCACACCAATGCGAACCGCCACGCTGGACTTCTTTCTTGGGGGTCTGTGGGCGCCAAAATGTTTGTCCAACGCCCCCCTTGGCCACCTGAAAAGGGTGAGAATATCATGTGTTTTTACAGGTCGCCGGCCTCCCCCGCCCTCCCGACGAAAGTCTTGGAACCTTTGACCCTCCTGGGGGCCTCCAGAGACCGTGTTGGGAGGCTCTCGCGGGCGTCTTCTGGCGCTCGTGGAACCCTTTCTGGGGCCATTCTGGAGCCTGTTGGGAGCTTCTGGGGGTCCTCTAAGGCCTGCGTGGAGGCTTCTTGGGAGCCTCTCGGAGACTCTGGGGGTCTCTTGGACGCCCCGCGGGGGCCTCTCGGGGCGCGCGGTTTTGTGGGACCGTCTGAGGGCCATGTTGGAATCACAGAAGTTTATCGTCAGCGAGGCGGCGGGGGAGCAATAATTCATCGTTTGTCCCTTGTTTTTTTGGAATGATTTGAGTTTCCCACGGGCTCGCGGGGGAACTCTCGCGGAGCTTCTGCGCTTTCATCGGGGCGTTTAGGGCCGTTTCGGAACCCGCGTAGAGCCATCTTGGGCCCATCTTGGGTCGTCTTGGACCGCCTGCAGACCATGTCGATGCCTTCTTGTGATGTCTTAGGCCATGCACTATCATGTTGGGCTAGCTTGTGGCAGTCTTCGGGCCATTTTGGGACTGGCATTGGGCGCAGGGGGGGTCATCTTGACTTGCTTTCAGGGGCGCATTCCTCGGGTTTGTGAAGAGATTCGTTTTCTTTGTATGTTTGTAAACATTTTTAGCGTCGGGGGAGAGGGGGGGCCTGGCGACCCGAAAAAAACGTGTTTTTTTGGTGGCCCACGGAAGTAGTTAGAGAGAAAAGTTGCCGATAATCGCGCGGCCAGACCCCGGCCGCTTCAGGCACAAGTTGAAGCCAACCCAGAGCGACGCCGAGGGGTTTTTCAAACTGCCGCATGGGCGGAGCTTGCGGGGGGGAAAATGACAGGCGCAGGCCGCCTTCCGATAAACAAAAAGACAATCTCGCAGCAGCAAGCGCGCTCAACTTTCGCCCCCCCTCCCAAACACGCCACCCCCGAGTGGAACTGAAGGAGCAATTCGCTCAAAATGGCCCCGCGGGGTTCCGCGGCCCCATCGGCCCACGGGGCCAGGGAAATAGGTCTGCGTCATGAAATCAGCAATTGAGACACCTACGCTGCCAAACTTCCTGGTAATCAGTCTGTGGACCCCGTCCAGGGGTTCATCGGCGTTCGATGTTCGTGCTGCGTCCAACCGTGGCGACGAGGGCCATCCGCGACGGCGAACTGACGGCGTCTCCAACGGTTTTCCGTTGGTCTTTGCTGCCTCCAGAAGGGCGCTGTGCAACAAATGTTTTCCGAAGGCCTGGCAGGCTGAAGGCTTGGCTGCGGGAATCCGCAGGCGCGCGTGGAAACTGCATATCCCACATCTACATATCCCACAACAGTTTGCCGCCGACCCGTCTGTGGTCGTCTGGGTCGTGGGGCGACCGACAATGCGCGGCCCAGGCGCGCAATCGGCGCTTCGCCTCTGGTCGCGCCATTCCAGATGGCACATGGCAGAGGCTCCTGCTGACGCCGCAATGGGGGCATTTGTAGCTCAACCCATTCATGCTCCCTTGCGACATCAGCTCTGTGAAGGCCTCGTCCACCTCGCGCTCTCCAGGGCGCGCAACTGGGTGGGCTGCAGCTGCACTCGCGGGGGCGTCCTCCTTTTTTGCCGCCTCTTGGACGGGCCAGCGATGGCCTCCTGCACCTGCGCCTCGAAAGCGGCGGTAACTGCGGCGGGGGCTGCGGCGGAAGCGGCGGCGGAAGGGCGGCGGGAGCTGCGGCGGGAGTTTCGCCGAACCGGCGGCGCTGCGGTTGCGCCCGCGGGAGTATGTTTCAATGATGATTGCGCGTGTCGCAAAACCTATGCGCACAACAGCGCCTGCGTGCACCGCGTGAATTGCGAGCGCTGTGGCGCCATCTTGCACCACGGGGCTCGCATGCATAAGAAACCGGCGTTCTCTGTGAACTCCTTGCTGCGCTGCCCTCCCCCCCCGGCCCTGCGCGACCGAATTCGCGACGTTATCGGGGGGGGGGCAGGCCCGATAACGCGAGTCATCGCCGAACCCTTAGAACGAACAAAAAAAAAACAGGGGGAGGGACAGGACGGAAGTGAGGGAGGGGAGGAGACGGAGGGGGGGAGGGAAGGGAACGAAGGGCGGGGTCCCCGGCCACTTCCTTAGACATCCGACGTCATTTTTTTGTTATATATAATAAATATATATATATTTTTATATTATATAATATATATATATTATAAAAAATGCATCGTGGGCCCCCAGAGGCCCGGAGACCGTCCCCGGGATCGGTTTTTCATTGTGAGTCGTTTCTTGGCGGCCCCGGGGCCCGCTGAGGGCCTGCGGAGGCCGAAGGGGGGAGGGGGGGGAGAGGCTTCCAAGCCCCCCCACCCTTTTGGCACAAAGGGGGGGAGGGGGGGGAGCTTCCAGCAGGGCGGTTCCAAGGAAGGGGGGGTGGTAGCTTAAGCACCCCCCTCGTTGTGGAAAGGGGGGAAGGGGGAAGGGGAAGGGGGGGGTAGCTTCC